TTTGAACATAGTAGTCTAAAGTGATTATATTAGAGGTTCAATGTCAAATGGGGATAATTACCATAAAAAAATTGAATTGCAAGATATCTTGTTAGTAATACTACAGGTAAAATAGATTTAAACCCTTACTATTAGACACCAATAATGGGAACCCAATTTTGAATTAGTAACCTCTAATTATAAAGTTTAATAGGTAAAAAAAAGTTATTATTATGTATCTATTAAGCACTAGTAAAATCCATACAAATTTTAAAAACTAGTGTGATCGTTACATGGGGAGATGAGTTTTTATACTCTTAATAGAGTTTATTATTTAAATATCTAAAGTAATAGAGACATAATGAAAACTGTACCTATATAAACATAAAAGTGGTGCCACTTCAATAAGAAAATTTGAGGTTTCTATTGTAAGTGTTTATAAACAGGATAAGTACATGACCATAATAGTGCTAAAGTGATTATAAACCTCTGACAGAAGAATAAATAAATATTATGTGTTATATCTTCAATTCTAATACTAGGGGTTGAGATTTAATCTGCGGATATCATTAACCTCGTTAGAATTCTAAGATGTATATGCTAATTGAATGTTTAAATTAAGCGATACCTTCATATATTTATAATATTTATTTGTATGAAAGGTTAAAAGTTAAACACCAACATTCTAAACTAGTAGGGGATTGTTAGTAGTTTAAAATGCAATACATCCCACATGAAATAGAATGATTTAATTATTGATGAATAAAATTAATTTTTGTATGAATTTTATTCATATTTTAAATAATTATGTTTGAATAAAAATAATTATCGTATAATAAATTATTATAACTATTTGAATATAAATAAATTATTATTCATAAAGGTCATGATTATATAAAAGGTTATAACCATTTGAATAAAGGTTTATGTCTATTTATTTATTATAAATTGATTTTTCAATATAACTATTTTTTTACTATTTTTGATTAAAAGGTTTGAGGTTTTATTGTATTATAAAAGTATAATTGCCTTTAAAAAGTATTTTTCACACCTCAAAACTAAAATTCTTTTTTATTATTTTTATTCTCTTATTTATTTTTTCTAACAATCAATATTTTACTTTGAACTTGTAACTTGGATCATGTTGATTCATGCAGCTATTCTTAAAAAGTAACATTCAATAGATCTAGAGTTTAAATCTTTGTATCTACAACTCCTTCTCATACCCATAGTTTGCGTCCTTCTTTGGTAAAAAAAAAAATCAACATTTTACATTCACTATGATCGATATGGAAGAAGATTAGAATTTTTTTACATGATTAAAAATATATATAATGATCTGAGCGAATAAGTGAAAGTAGCTAGGAGAACCTAGAGGTATAGGAATACTCCTACGTGAGGTCATTTGCTTTGAAATTATGGTGTGATAATCAGCTCAAATTATTGTTAAGTTACGTTAAAATACGTACTTAGTTTAATGCGAATGCTAAAAGACAAAGATACATGCGGAACCAACAAAACTTAGAACAAGAAAAAGTAAAACATTGAGAAGTTCACTTGCTTTATCCCTTGGCTTGCTCTGTTTATCAAAGTTGGTTATGTTGTGCCTACCGCCTAGTGTTCCTCAGTAAGCACAGTTGGGGCATCTTATATTAGATCCTTCTTTTTACCCCTTTCACTTAACTTTGCCTCGTTTTAAACTTACCACCGGCTTAGTTCTGAGCTATGATAAGAATTATTTCTTCAAAGTACAGTAATAATCAAAGTTTAAAGCTGATATTGATTAGTCATTGGAAGTTGGTTGAGTTCAATACTTCGCTTATAAAATTTAGGTTCGAATTCCATACCAATAATCTTCTTTGAGACGATTTTTAAATCTAATATAAGTTATGTTGAAAGTTATCATCTATTTTCGTCTTAAATCGGAAAAACCTCTTCTCATCCTAAATATTTGTTTATAAAAAAAAATTAATATTGATTTTATTTATAATTTTTAGTGTGAAGATTTAAAAGAAGAAAATGATAAAACTAAAAGTAAATTCGTTATTATAAATAAATAGAAAAGAAAAAAAAATCAAGACTGCCTTTTCTATTGGCCCAAATAAATCAGCATTTCACTTTGACTATCAGAAACATTAGCTGATAAAACAAACTCTGGTAGTCATAGATAATCGCTAATCTCTTTGGCAAGTAGATTACCAACAATATTCCAACAAATTACCCACAGTTTTTGCAGGAATCAAGTTCAATTGGTTACAGAGAATAGCTAACAGAGCCACAGATTGGGTAGCTACACAATCCAAAAGGAAGATGAGCATTACAAATTGGGTTCAGTCATCCCATATTTTTTATTATTCATTCTGGAATAGATATTCTTACCTTCCTTTAACATTTCTGATTCTTCTTACTCCTAACACTTGTATTAATTTAATAATAAATAATAAAAGAGAAAAAAGCAGTAGTTGTTGAAACAAATACAATGAACACGCCATGATTATTTCGTTATCTATTTTTTTTTTCTAAAAAGAAAACTTTATCAAAATGTTTCCGTATCAATCCACTATTCTAAACTTCTTCCTCTTATTGGCCAAAAAGGAAAACAAAAACCTTCTTCCTCTTATGCTTACTTATCTACTATTCTAAACTTTATCAAACCACCTTTTTTGCGCAAATTTTCTATAATTTAAAGCTATTGTTTACCTTTAAATAGAAAAAGTATAAAAATCCCACAAACAAATAATCAATTTATTAGATGCTTATGTTTATTTGATTTTTAATTTAATTAATTATTAATTTTTAGTTTTGTTACTGATAAATAATAGAATTATAAATATTAAACTTAAATTATGATATACTCCTAGCTAAGTCCCAACTAATTAATGTTGAAACTTCGAAGTTCAAAACGCATAATAAAATTGATTGTCACTATTTTTTTTTTTCATTTGAGATACAATTGATCGTGTCTACAAAACTCTATTCACATATATTTTGTAAACAAAAACTCATATTTGTATTAAAAAAAAAAAATTTACTGCATTATATAATTTGATGCAAATAAAAAAGTTTTATTGCATATTACCATAATTTTCATTTTTATCTATTTGAATCTAAGTTGGTCCTCACTAAGATTCATGAAAGAGTTACAAAAAGGAAAACGGAAAGAAACGTATATTAACCTTAATCTAATTTTTCTCAAATTTCCTTTTTTTTTCATTTTAAAATTTTTTCCTAGAAAGAGGGAATGAAATAAACCTAGTATGTGTCTCGAAGAAGACACCCTAGTAGTTGGAACTTAAAATTTCACCTCGAAAGTTACAAATTGAAAATTTGAGATGGACGCAATGAGATCTATAAAATGAGAGAATTTACCTTCTCATTGTGCTACCCAATATCACATCTACAAAAATCTATCATGTAAGATACTTTTTTAAAATCGATATTTTACAAATATAATCAATTAATCAATACTTTAATAAAGAATTTGATGTTAGTTACTAATAAGGAAATAGACAATCAATTAGTTAATATTTTACTTTAGTACGGAATTCGAAATTAGTTGGAAATAGATATGTAATTATTTAGTCAATGTTTTAAATTTTTAATAAAATATCTCAATTATGGATCAAAATATTAATATAATAAATCATAAAAGTATTTATGTATGTTGATTTTCGTATTTAAAATTGTCAAATATTAGAACCTCGATTGTTAAAAAAGATAAAACTCAATATTCTACTAATGAACTACATAGATTTATTTGTCATTAACTTGTAAAGGAAAATCACTCTTAATGAAATTCATATCTAACTCAATCTGATTAATTTTTGTTTATAAGTTTTAAATTTTAATACAAAATTTTTTGAGATATAAAGTTAAATTATAAATAAGTAAAAATAATTTTATTCATTTTCATCACTGAGAGATGTACAGAGAACCTATTGCGGAATAATAAATATGATGTTTTTGGACAATTTGGTAACTTTTATTTGATGATAGGTCAATATCACTTTAATTGAGAGAATGCATCAATGCTGTCATCTTCAAAGCATTAGTTGATCAACAAAATTCTTTATTTTTCATATTCTAATTATTAATAATTTGGCTTATTGTTGAATAAAATTGAAGATTATAAAAGTCAATTTGAAATATAACAAACCTCAAGTTCTATGCACCCAAAAAATAAAAAATCCTGTTCTTTACTATCAGTACATTTTTTTAGGTTAAACAATTCATAGTTTATTTCCAATAAAAATTAATTCATAGTTTATTTGTAACAATTTGCTTTTAGTTAATGTTACAATATTTTATTATTCTTTGTATTTATCAAGCAACATGTAAATCGTACTTTTTTCACTAAAAGGAAAATTAATAAAAACACAAAAAAGTTAAGTATATATAATAAAACTGGTTGTACCACTTTTAAAAATAATAGAATTACATTGTTAATAAAAATTAAGAAGTTAAAACTATTAAGATTACAGTTTTGTTTTAAATTCTTAATAGCATTAATATATGAATTAGATTAGAATTTAACTAGTTAAAGCTAATATCAAGTAGAATTGTTAATTTATCATAATACTATTTTTTATATAATTATTAAATTAAAAATAATAAAATAATGAATAATATTTTTCAGAAATACAGTAAGAAAATCTCTATAATATAAATAGATTACAGATAGATTAAAGATTTGTATCTTCAACGAATTGATATCTATCTAAATGTATTATCTCGCAATTTTTTATTAATCCAAATCAGGAGATAATGTCAACACGTTTACCATTTACTTTGAGATTAATTTTTCTGCAAGTATAAATAGGAGATCCTCTTCACTTTTTGAAACACAGTTTGTAGAACAGACTATAATAATGGCAGTAAAATATATTTTTATCATTCTTGTTTCTCATATTTTTCTATCTTTTTCGATTTTTTCTTTTGCTAGACTAGATCCTTTAGATGCAAACCTTGATGATAATGGTATACCAAAATATCTTCATGTTTGTCATCCCGATAGATATAAAATGCATGGATTGAATATGGCTGATTTTGCATTTTGTGATAAATCTCTGTCATATGAGGTCAGGGCTAAAGATTTGGTTGATCGATTGACTTTAATTGAGAAGGCTCAACAAATGGGAGATAAAAGTAGTGTCCATATACCAAGATTAGGATTACCAAAATACAGGTGGTGGTCTGAGGCATTACATGGGGTAGCTCAGGTTGGTTGGGACCCAGTCACACATTTTGATGATGTTGTTCCTGGTGCAGTAAGTTTTCCAAATGTTATTCTCACAGCTGCAACGTTCAATCAGACACTTTGGAAAACTATTGGCAAGGTATTTTTTTACATTATTAACTTATGTAAAATTAATTTTAGTTTATGAAGCTAATAATAGTTTTCATTTAATATTTATATATATATATATGTAGGTTGTGTCCACAGAAGCAAGAGCAATGTATAACTTAGGAAGAGCGGGATTGACATTTTGGAGTCCTGTAATCAATGTTGTGAGAGATCCAAGATGGGGAAGAACTTTAGAGACACCAGGAGAAGATCCTTTTGTTGTTGGACTGTATGCGGTTAACTTTGTGAGAGGCATGCAAGATCTTGAAGGACATGATAACACTACTGATCCAAATTCTAGACCTCTCAAAGTTTCTGCATGTTGTAAGCATTTTGCCGCTTATGATATTGAAAATTATCTTGGTCTTGATAGACTTCGTTATGATGCAAAGGTATATATTGCTTATATATTTGCTTCTTTTTTCTTAAAAATTAAATTTCATCAATTAATTAAAATTAAATTTCATCAATTAATTAATGAATTGTCTTTGTGAATTAGGTTTCTGAACAAGATATGGTGGAGACATTTAATCTTCCCTTCGAAATGTGCGTTAAAGAGGGTGATGTGAGCAGTGTTATGTGCTCTTATAATCGTGTCAATGGTATTCCAACTTGTGCCGATGCCTATCTTTTGAAAAAATTAGTTAGAAAAGATTGGAATTTACATGGGTATGTATTGATCAATGAGACTTATTTCTTTCTAATAATTTATTTATAAATGTTAAGCTTTAATTTAATCTTATTTTCAACGTGTAGGTATATAGTAGCAGATTGTGATTCTGTTGAAGAAATTGTGAGGAACCATAGATGGCTTAAGGATACAGGGGAAGATGCTTCAGCTCATACGCTAAAAGCAGGCTTGGATTTGGACTGTGGAAATTATTACACCAAATTTCTTCCAAATTCAGTGATGCAAGGAAAAGTTAAAGAGGCTGATATGGATAAGGCAATCAAATACCTTTATATTGTACTCATGAGACTTGGGTTTTTTGATGGAATTCCATCTTTGGCATCACTTGGCAAAAAGGATATATGTACTAAAGAAAATATTGAATTAGCAGCTGAAGCAGCTAGACAAGGGATTGTTCTTCTTAAAAACAATGATGAAACTTTGCCATTAGACCCTGCAAATTTCAAATCCCTAGCACTAATCGGGCCACATGCCAATGCAACTAAAGCAATGATCGGGAATTATGCAGGTTCTTAACTAGATCCAATGTCAGCTAGGGATTTTTATATAGTTCATCTTCTATTTTTATTGACTATTTTTTGATTTGTATGTAGGTGTTCCATGCAAGTACATTTCTCCAATTGAGGGCTTTTCTGCATTTGGAAAAGTGACATACGAGATGGGATGCAAAGACATTAAATGCGCTAATGATAGCTATATAAATGCAGCTGTCAATGTTGCAAAGAATGCAGATGTTACTTTCCTTTTTGTGGGATTAGATTTATCTGTAGAAGCTGAATGGGTTGATCGTTCGGATCTTCTCCTTCCTGGTTATCAAACTCATCTTGTCAATGAAGTTACTAAAGCTGCAAAAGGTCCAGTTATTCTTGTCGTCCTGACTGCAGGTGTGATTGATATTTCTTTTGCTAAAACCAACCCCAAAATCAAATCCATCTTATGGGTTGGATATCCTGGTGAACAAGGTGGTCGTGCTATTGCAGATGTTGTTTTTGGAAAACACAATCCTGGTAAATGTCAAATTATTATTAATATTATTTTTGACTCGGTATTTCTTGGACTATTTATTAATTTCTATCATGCATTTATGTTAATCAGGAGGAAGGCTGCCACTTACATGGTACGAGGCTGACTATGTCGAGCAACTGCCAATGACATCAATGCCATTAAGGGCCGTTGACAATTATCCTGGAAGAACGTATAAGTTCTTCAATGGCTCGACAGTTTATCCTTTTGGCTATGGATTAAGTTATACAAGCTTCAAATACAAGCAAAATCCAAAAGAACTGTCTTTCGACATAAAATTGAACAGGCTTCAACATTGCCATGGGTTGCCTTACAAGAAGGAAAACCAAAATCCAGACTGCCCTTCAGTTTCAATTGACGATTTATCATGTAAGGAGGAAATCAAATTTGAAATCGCAGTAGAAAATGTGGGGCAAAAGGATGGAAGTGATGTCATATTGGTTTACCATGTCCCTCCAGAAGGAATCGAAGGAACACCTTTAAAGCAATTGGTTGGATTTGAAAGGGTTTATCTACATGCAAAAGAGAACAAAACCGTCAAGTTTGTTCTTAATGTTTGCAAAAGCTTGAACATTGTTAATGATTCTGGTTATAGGCTTTTGCCATCGGGTTTGCATAAAATTGTGGTGGGAGATAAATCAATTTCAGTTAAAGTTAGTTATAAACGGTAATTATTTTATTTTTGCACTTTGATTGGATTCAACTAGGATTAGATTCAATTCCAGTCAAATTTGAACTAGGATTAGATGGTTTTATTTTATTTATTTATTTATTTTTAATGTACTCAAGTTTGAGTGAATAAAAATGATTTCATGTGTTTTTATTATATTTTATTTATTTTTTGTTACATTTTTTATGAATTTGTTTAATTTAAATTTTATTAAAATATTTTAATTTAATATTTTTACATATTTTTTTAAAACTAAATAAAATAATTATCTAATAATAACATTCTCACATACAAATTGAGTCAAAGCCTTTTTTATTATGTTGAATTAGATTGTAATTTGTACGATGAATGAAATAATTTTACTTATTTAATATAACTATATACATATAAATTTGTTTCTTTTTAAAATTATATTTAAATTTTTAAAATTTATAACATATATAAAATTCATATATACTGACTTGTCTTAAAAAATAATTTTTTTAAAAAAAATATCATGTCTTTCTTTTGGACTATTTTATCTACAATAATATTTATACACTTACAAAATTTTATCAAACACAAAAAAAGTACATTTTTCTTAAAAAACAAAACATATATATTATTGAAAAAAAATAAAAGAAGTATTAACATATTTTCATTTTTATAATTTTAACCATAAATATTATGTTTCCTAAGAATGAAATTGCAATACTAATAAAATATAATTTGAAAAAAAAAGTTATAAATTACTTAAATCAAAAAAATAAATTACAATAATAATAGAATATTCCTTGAAAAAAGTTACAAATCGAAAAATAAAAAGCTTATATAACACATAGTATTTATGGGCTTAAATTTGTAGAAAAATCATATTTAGTGGCAATTATGATTGAATAGATAATTTTAAGTTATTTTTTTCAAGCTTAAAAGGGATATAATAAGTGATAAAGATGAAATCAAAATTTTTGCATATATTTAAAATATAAAATTGATAATTAAAGTTGAGATCAATATAGTCATCTTTATAGTCTTATTATTTTAAGGATTTAATATAAAAAAATCGTTTAAATTTTTAATGCCTTACGTAAATTTTCAAATAATTAAGATAAAAAGGGTTGTTGAAAGATTTGAAGAAATTTAATCTTTGTAATTTTTAAATATGTTGAAAAATTTTGGTAATTAAATAATTTCTTAAATAATATTATTTGATAAATAATTAAAATTATTTATTATGAAGATAAAATCTATATTTCTGATTCTTAATTTTAAAAGACATATATTTAGATTGTCCACATAAGTGTTCACGTGACAAATCTTATCAGGGGTATATATATATATATATATATATATATATATTCTTATTTTTCTTTTGCTTACTGCATCAAATTCATAGCTGTTTGCATTCTGATTTTTTTTTCTATTATCTATGCATTATATTCTTATTTTTCTTCTGCTTACTGCATCAAATTCATAACTGTTTGTATTCTGATTTTTTTTTCTATTATTTATGCATGATGTTCACATCTACCAATATTTATATTAAGGGATCAATTCATCATTATTGTCATTAGTATATGAATATAAAGATGGTCACTTCAAATAAATTGGGATTGTGTGCCTTCTCATTCAACTCTATTTTTTTGCCTTTGTGCGAGGGCTAATTTCATTTCTATTATAATCTCTAATCAATTTTAGTCATGAAATAATTTTTTGGATATAATTAGTATAGACACCCCATTTAGTTTCGGGTTTAATTAGGGTTTTATTAAGTTCATTTTTTTTTTTACTTATTTTTGTTTATTAATTTTTTTATAATAATTTTATTTATTTTGGTTACTTTAGTTATTAAAAAAAAAAAAAAAAAGAGTCTAAAAGTTCGGAAAAGGTCAGTTGGATTTGTAAAGGGATTGAAGTCCCAAAATTGCTTTGGATTGGAATTGTTTTGATTGATTAGGATTGGAACATTTTTGTACTATTATAATGTATTAAATCTAATTTTTGGAAAATAACCGAAGAAGAATTAGAATGGGATTTTGGGATTAAGACTTAGTGGAGTTAAATTGGAAGTTTTATTTTGATTTAAAATGGCATCTCGCTATTAGAAAAAAGGCTTTTATCAACGGAAAATTCCATTAGTAAAAATCAATATTCCATTGATAATAGCAATAACAACGGATTTATTGATAGAAAAATTTTATCAATAGTAACTAAATCGGTAATGCTATTTCGTTAGTAATTACCAACAAAAATTTCATTGACAATTACTGACAAAAAAATTTGTTAGTAATATTTATTTTTCAATTATATTTAATATATTTTATTAATAATTCTTGTTATTTTATTTTAGTTTTTTAATTTATTTATAAAGCAAGTGCATGAATACTAAATATATATAAATAGAAAAAATAAATATTAAAATGTTCCATTTTATTTATAAAAGAATATAAAATATTTTACAAAATCGTTTATGAATTCTATTAAATAAAAATACAAAAAATGACCACTTATGCGCCTCTGTGGTAAGAACTTGTCAATGTTGAATCTTTCCTGCTCAGCTGTGTGTACATTTAGCATAGATAAATCAGACTCAACCAAATAAAAAAGAACTTCCCCCCTACTTTAAGTCATAAGCCAAAAAAAAAAAAAAAAAAAAAGAAAAGCAAATTTCTGATCATGCAAAATTGATTTACACCTTAACAGATAATAAGATCAGTAAGGATTCTCATAGCAATAAGATCAAGTACTAAAGGCCAAATTGAGTAATTTAACGAGCATGTCTAGCCAAACTAGATGATGCAGATAATGATACAACAATTGCCACAAAACTTGTTTCATTCACATATATTTCCACTAAGAACATGCTAGCATCTCAATTCAATGATTCTATGGGGAAAAAGTGTGCAGACCATTGACAATGTCATTTCTAAAGCAACCACAGAGCAAAGAACCATATATGCAATTGTCCGTCCCAAAACACAGTACGACTAAGTTGGTTCTTAAGATTTCACCATGACCAAGCCCAATATACGGGCATACAGGGCCTTTTTGCTTCTTGACCTTCACTTTAAAAAGGCTAAAACAGTATATCAATTATGTGTGTGAAACCAAAATAAGTGTGATCAATGAAAATAGGAAAAGCATCAATCAAAAAAAGCTTTAGTAAACTCAAACTCTAAGAGACAACTAATCTGACGTTAATATTTTCTTTGAATAAGCTGCTTGTTGGAACCAAGTGACTCTCTAATAACACCTCTACTTGCCTCCAACCTTCATTATTCTTACAAAAAAAGAAAAAAACTTTGCACTCACCAAATATAGGTGAGCTTAGGCTTTCTGGTTTGAGCAATAAAAATAAAGGTCTCCATTCCAAACAAGCTCAACATAAACTTGAAAAAGTTACGGGTGATAGATTAACAGGGAAAAAAAGCAATTGAAAAGATAACCTTCTCTATCCTTTCCTTCGCTGTAGTACCCGATGTTTCCCCTGCAGACAATTCATTAAAGACAGAATTAGCGATATCTAAATGTACAAAAGATATAGTAGGCTATGTCCAATTCAAAAACAAAGCAAAGACTGAAGAAGGCCAAATTTCATGCCTCTACTTTGAAACTCTTTTTCTATCTTCACAAATCTAGCAACTAATGCCCGAGGTAGAGCTTGAAGCCACTCCTTTCACCCAAGGCCACGGGGAACAGCACTTAACACATGACTCAAAAGATGCTACCTCATAAAAATTGCTGTAGCATTACAGTTGTGCTCGTTAAAGATCTGAAAACAGAAAAAAATAGTTACTATCACAAAGGAAGTGAAGACATTAATAAAGAAACCATCCAAGCACTAAACATATACAATTGAATTTTGCAGAGATAACTACATATCATTAAAGAATGCATAACGCTATTCTTGTTTGTATGCTCTATATGTATCATACTTGAATTTAACCCAAAGAAAAAAAAAAAGAAAAAAATTGCTCAAGCATGAATGCTTCTACCAACTGCTAAGTTAATCAACCTTGTATATTGTAATGACTAATTGTAATTCACACTAAAACATATCATAGATTCAAAGCATCCTTAAGAACAACTTTGATAATAAACATTACATTGGGCAATCAACGCACCATGCATGTCAAAGATCAAATTACAAAGATTACCACAAAAACAGAGAAGGTAGATAAAGGATTCCCACGTAGTCACTGACAATCCGTTTTAATTAAGAAATAATCTTCTCTTTTCCTAGACTGAGCCACATGTCCATATCTCACAATCAGCTTCTTCATCTTCTCATCCTTTATCTCTCTGCTGATTAAACATTCCCCACCAACTTTTTCGATCATTGCCTTCACTGTTTCAGTGAACCTTAGTGTAATAACCTTCAGTGCCGGAACGTCATACACTCGAATGTCATTAGTAACATTCCCAACCAACACAGCATTCTTATCCTCCTCATCGATAAAACCAATAACAAGATCAATCATTCATCAAACAAAAAATTTCAATCAAAACTCCCAACCGAAAATAATTAGAAAAATCCAAGACAACAAATTGGAAATATCTAATAAATTATTTTGCTAATCGGCCAGCGACGGAATACGATGGGGAGAGGGGAGTCATGGTGGGGAGAGAGGGAGAGAGGAAATAGTTATTTGGGGAGGAATTTGGGGGTTTTTTTTTTTTTTGGTTTGCACGATTCTGGGAAAAGGATATTCAAATAAAAGTGTTTTTGTCAATGGAAATATCGACAGAAATTCCGTCGATACCGTCCAATTTTTTTTTAATTTTTTACTGACAAAAATTTTCGATGGTAAAATTCGCGATAAGTGACGTCAAATTTTTATCGACGGATTTAATTTTATTGATATTATTGATAAATTCTATCGATATATATCAATTTTTTTATACAATCTGTTGGTATTTTATTAGTAATTACTAACGAAAAAAATTCTGTTCGTAAAAATCTATCGATTATAGGTTTAATTCTAGTAATGTCTAAACAAGGATCTAATGGTTTATTTAAGA